CCCCTCTCCGGTATATACGCCGCGTCTTTCGCGCGAATATTGTGCTAGATCGCGAGCGAGATGGGATATCTATTTGCAGAAACGCGCAGTCGTCGGAACGGGCGAAGTTTGGATTACCGCAACCGGCGCTCGGTTTCGGCTGAATTCGATCGATGCAGCCGCGCGCGGTTTAGTTACATCGCAATTAAGTTCAAGGTCGCCGATACTTCCGCCAAGGTCGCGTTTAATGCTGCGGAGAATCCGCCGGAAAGAAAATATATCACGCGTGTATGTATGTGTGTACACACACACATATATATATTTGCACATACACACACACGTTATCCCGCAACTGCGGCATATCACTTCGTTGCGCGAGCAGCTGAGTCCTCGCCTCGAAAACAGAACGCGGAGAAGAGCCACGCGAATAATTTGGGATGCAATTAAATGCAACTTTCGGAGCGTAACTCAGATGCGACGACGGGCGATTTAAGGGGCGCGTGGCGTAATTCGTCATTTTCAATCGAAATCACGTCCCTGTTCGCATTTCGAACACCACCTCTCCGATTCCACAATGAAAAATAATGAGAGAGGATACACTCCGTATTGCATAAGCGGAGAAATAACGAGATCTCTCTCATGATAATGATCCTGCGAGAATAATCTTCGTGCTTCCATACTAGTTTCTTCGTCCATATTAATCTGCGCACATATTTTATTTTTTCCTCTTTCGAGGAAACGCTGTGAGAAAAGATCGGCACGATGGAGCAGTTAATCAGCTGACTGATTCAACGACAGCCAGTTTTGCGAACGGCGTATCACTTAACGAATAATTAGCATACACACACACACACACATACACACGTTCGCTGCCACGGAATTCATTTGCGGAGTTCTCTCCACACAAACAATTACATTGCGTTTGTTTCTTTCTTATGGAATTGTGTAGAAAAAGAAAGTCGTAATATATAAACACTTATAAAATATTGCTGAGCTAGCTACTTTTCTTGGAACAAATTCTTTTCGTACAACAGCAACATGTTCTAACAACTTGGTATTACGTCGATCTCACAGCAAGAAAATTTGCTGTTGCAACGAAAAGTGTTGCTAACGCAGCAACATTTTTTAGATAGTCCATATATTACAACTATTTTAGCTGCGGCAAACAGCTTTTTTTCCGTGCAGACTTGTGGTTTGTTTAGAGAGAGAAAGAGAGGGACTTCGACCTTCCGCGCGCGCTCGCGGGATTCGTCAATGAATTAAGGCACAAAGTTTAATGGACATCCTTTGTCTACCATATTGCGAGAGCAACGTAACGAGCTACTACGCACAGAAGCGAGGCCGAGCGCGGCGCGTAGACATCGATCGTCCGACAGAAATCGCGACCCGATGCGATACGCACGCACGGGACGGCACGCCACGTGGAATTGCGCATACCGAGTAAGGGGTCGTCCACAATGCAGTCGCAGGTGCGTTCTAAAGTCGTAACACACTAGTTGTCCGCAGAATTGATCGTGCACCTATTTCCTCCGCGTAAACTCGTGAAAAATGAAAGGCTCCATTGAACTTGTCAATGAGGCTTTCCATCCTTCACGAATTTACGCGAGAGGAACGGATTATTTAACGTCAATATTCTAAATTTCCACACAGAAAAAGAGATTTGCTAATATATGGACAACTAAAAATATTAGCTGCAGGAGCAAATTTTCTCTCGTAGCAAAGTTATTTAGTTGTGATAGCTAAAAGATTTGCTAATATATATATATATATATATATAACAAATCTTTTAGCTATTACAACTAAATAATTTTGCTATGAAAGCAAGAAAATTTTCTCCTGCACAGCTAATATTTTTAGTTGTTTATATTATTAGCAAATCTTTTTTTTCCGTGCAAGATCTGGAGGCTGCGATCTTTTACCTAAATACCTTCTTGAATTCCTCCAAGAAACGAACCTAAATCTATAAGTCTCATACTCATTCAACTCCTATTACCAAGTTGTGGTGAAAGGGCCATTAAAGCCTGCTACCAAGAGAGAGAGAGAGAGAGAGAGAGAGAGGAACGGATTGTGATCGATTTACAGTAGACAGCAGTATTACGACCTTAACACGTGACTGCGTGAGCGTTGTAGACGGTCTTTGATGCGCTCGCTCGCCGAATAGAATCCGATTTCGATTACCTGACGCGTTCCTGTTACCACCTCGGCAACGACGCAGTCGTGTAACGCGACGAGGAGGCAGGCGGCGGCGTTATTTTCCACGTGGCTTGGTCGCGGCTGCCTCCTTGCTCGGAGAATATTTCCGCGACGGAGTTCATACAGTGCTATCGATATGCGACGATAGCCTTGCCTAATGCGTCGTTTATCTCGTGTATACCGACAACCGACATTGGCGGCTGTGAATTGTACGTGGCTCGGGCATCCATCGCATTTTTAATGCGATAACGCAACTTGCGCGATCGATTACGACATGTTGCTCTTGCGAAACTGAAATCTGTAATCAAACATTGTGATTGTGATCTACACTGAGATAATTAATTCTTCGCATATAATTGTGCGTTTTGAGACATGCCCGACTAAAAATTTAGGTCCCATGGTCCTCATCAAGTTGATTTCAATCAGTTATCTGCACAAGATGATGTTATCAGATCCTGATAAATCAGGACCTTATTAATAATCGGGATTATTAATAGGTAGGAACTAATAACATCATACTTTGTATAAACCAAACAACTGATTAGGATCAACCTTAGGATTAGGACGATGGGATAAATTTCTAGTCGGTGATTCTTGCTAGCGTGTAGATTTATAATACGTCGATTACGATTTATATACGATTTATAATAAATAACGTCCAGTCGAGTAGCTCCTCGTAATTAATTGTACACGGAGAAAAATAATTTGCTTGCCCAGCAAATTTTTTGTTGGTCTAGCAAATTCTTTTCGTTATTATATGGACGGCAAAAAGAAAAAAAACTTGCTAAGAATACTAATTATTTGCTGGATATAATTTGCTGAATCTACAAATTATTATGCCATAAGAATCATGATAGATTTATACAAGCAGTTGCAATTTTGCTCCGATAGCAAATAAATTTGCTAAGAATACATTATTTTGCATCGATAGCGAATTAACGTGATTCTTAGGACAAATATATTCAACAAATTTTTTCTATCCTGCACTGAGAGAAAAAAATAGTTGGAATAACTATAATCTCACTATATTTTATAGTTCGTTTTGGCCTCAAACATATATTTATAGTTCATCTAAACATGAAGATGTAGTAGAATGAACACAGATTTATAGTCACCATCTTATTACTCTATATATATGGTAAAGCACCTTTTGGGAATATAGTTACATGTACCTATATTTGCCAAATATTCCAATTGTATTGACTATATAAAATAGTTAATTTCTCTTACCATTCAATATTTGCCACCTTACCATATTTTTTATTTTAAATAATTATAATTCTTGGTAAAAATTTTACTCGGATCAGTTATACTATACTTATATTGTAAATATTAAAAATATTATGGTAACATTTACTATAAAAATTATATTCCTAACTATAATATTTTTACTATGCCATTATAGTTCCAAATATCATACATTTTTCTCTCAGTGTAGCAACGAAACTGTTTCTGCTCTGATAAGGAATAATTTGTAAAATTGGTTAAGTCAACTAAATTTTTTTGATGTCACTACGAATATGCAGTAGCAACGACAATTTTGCTAAAAGAGCAAAATTATTTTTCTCCGTAGACTAAACGATCGAAGACGGTAAATAAAACTAGATAGGCATCGAGATACCGTCGCAAAGAGACAAGTCAACGCTCACGTGCACACAGCTGTCTGTGTGTCCTATGATGTTGAGACGTTCTGAACATTTTCCTGCAGTCTTTTCGCTGTGAGACAATAAAAGAATGACACACAACGGCAGGAATCTGTCACTTTATTTCTCGACTATGTCGGACAATGTAGGAAACATTAATCGATCGCCGTGTCCGTAGATTTATTCGCGAAATGAAACGAGCCGAGGAGAAACGTCGCAGAAGATTCAACTCGTTCCGAGTAACTGACTGATTCCCGAATCGATTACCCCGCTACGATTTACGCACAGTATATGCGAAAAAGCAGTGGATCCTTATCTTTCACGCGTCCCACCTAGGGAGAGAAGTTCGCCACGACGAACCATCTTCGCAGCCACTGAAAGCAGGGATGTTACAATCGATAATTTTAGCGTCACTCGCGAGATTCGCGAACCAACACAGGCGCGTAGGCGTCCCGTCACGTACCGGTAAATTTAGATTCGCTCGCAATTGGTGCCTTGACTCTCTTGAACTGGACGCACGATTATCATATATCCATGAATGATATCGATCGCGAAAGCGTGCACTCAATTTTCCCAGGAGAGTGTCTGTGCATATCAAATCCGGAATTAATATCGCTATATAATTGTCAGTGGCATTATCTTCCTTCGCTCTTTACTCGATGATGTGAGAGTTACCAGTGAGAGAATATCGTTCATTGCCAAAAGAGAAGAACGAAAAATAATTTCGTATGATATTGCACGAGATCTCACATTGATCGTGTATTATTTTCGAGCAAAAACGCGAGTGTTGTAGATCGAACTTAAATATTCGCGAAAACCTGCAGCCTCGTGACGATCAATCCGACGAGCAAAAATAGGGTCAGGATATTGAAGAGGAGGATAAATCGCGACGTCAGAGCGGTCCGTCCCTGCGTCATTAGACCGCGATGATTATTGTACTCGCGTATCCAGTCCTGCACCATGATTGTGTTCGGACCTACCGTTTTGGAGCTCAGGATGGCCTGCGGACGAAATTGACGACAAAAGTAAACCGCCTTCAGAAACTACCAAAGTTCTAAACAGTATGAAATAATCTTGACTCACAATATTTCTGCACTGAGAGAAAAATATATGATATTTGGAACTATAATGGCATACTAAAGATTATAGCTAGGAATATAATTTTTATAGTAAATGTTACCATAATATTTGTAATATTTACAATATTAGCATAGTATAACTGACCCGTGTAAAATTTTTACCAAGAATTATAATTATCTGAAATAAAAAATATAGTAAGATAGCAAATATTGAATGGTAAGAGAAATTAACTATTTTATATAGTTAATACAATTGGAATATTTGGCAAATATAGGTATATGTAATTATATTCCCAAAAGGTGCTTTACCATATATATAGAGTAATAAGATGGTGACTATAAATCTGTGTTTATTCTACTATATTTTTATGTTTAGATGAACTATAAATATATGTTTGAGGCCAAAACGAACTATAAAATATAGTGAGATTATAGTTATTCCAACTATTTTTTTCTCTCAGTGTGTGTACCAATAATTCTACTCGAATATTCTAAGAATATTAAAAGTCGGCGCGAAAATTTAATCTTAAATTACTTTTTTTTTTATATCATTATTTCTCTAATTGTTACTTACCTATCTAATTTCTCTTTTACGCACCGACTTCTAAATTGTCAGGATATTAGAATAAGATTGTAGTTACCCGGAAAAATATTGAGTCAAAATTATTTGATATTTGTTAGAGTTCTTGAGATTTTCGAAGGCGGTTTATTTTCATTAAAAAAATTTTTTTCGTATTTTTTCATTATTTACTAAAAGTTTGTCTTTGAAAAGGTTCCTTTTCTCTTAAAGTCCATTAAAAATTAAAGTTTCGTTTTGCAACTTTAATTAGGTGTTTAAGGTGTTTTCGGATGTTCAGGAAAGTAATGGAATTACCTAATGTCCAGGTCACCTGAACAAACTTGAGTAATGACACTAGTCGAAGCAACCATGCGGATAACATACTGAACAAGTTACAAAAAGTTTCGTCGCAATATCCATCAAGCTTGATCGTACGCTTCTTTGTTTCTTGTTATCTTTTTCTGGCTGAAGGCTTCAAACCAAAAGGCGATAGAAAGAAAGGAATATGAAGCAAAGGGCGTATTGTAGACTCAATGATTCTCAAGGTTATGAGGGAACATACATACAACAGAAAACCTCTGAGAACTCCTTTCCCTTTTATGAAAATCTGTTAAAAAATCACGAGACACTGCGGCATGTGAGCCATTGCGAGTCGCAATCAACGTGTCCGTCAACAGCATCGGCGCGAAACGGCGCGATCGCGGTATGCAGTACTAACAAAGTCGCATGCCAAGGCCACGGAATTCAGCGGCGCTCTGCATAACGGGCAAGGTGGCGGCGCAGGTGCGATTCTGACGTCGCAGTAACTCGCCAGGCAATCCGCGCACAGCAAGTGACCGCAGGGCGCCTTCACGCCGATCTTGGGCGCCCCGAGACAGATCGGGCAGACCTCGCCGTTGTATGGGACCACCGGCGCGTCGTCGTCGCTGTCGAGGGGGCAAGGGTGGAGACCTTACTTTCTCAAAATCGCGTTCTCTCTCTCTCTCTCTCTCTCTCTCTCTCTCTCTCGAAATTGAGGACAACTTCGACAGATGGAAAGATGAACACCGCTGCTGTTGCCCCTGAGAAATCGTACCTGAGCTCTCTCGTCACGCCGCTCGCATCGTCATCCGGGCCGCTGTCCGAGACATCCCGACTCCCACGTGAGCTCCACCTTCCGCCGGACGGGTTCTTCTTTCTGAACAGCAGAACGTAAATGCCGAATCCTAGCGCGAGGAGGGTGATCCGAAAAGCGTATCCTTTCCACCCCGCAACCGGACCCTCGCTCGAAGGCGCTACGAAGGCGAAGGCCTTCGCTCTGTATTGCTCGGTGAGATTCATCTCGTGTTCTTCTCCTGCCTGGTTTCTTCGGGCTCGATCGATCTCTCACTGCCGTCTACTTGATCCTCTCTCTCGTGTTCGACGTTACGATTTAGTGCAGCGGCATCATGCGGATCGAAAGGGCTCGTCGCAGAATTTCGCAGGATCGATACTTCGACAAGGCCGCCGCGGTCGATCGTTGACAGATCGACGTCCGGAATGGTGACAGGCGACGGACAACGGCCAAGTGCGACGACACAGCGTGATGTTCGACTGTCGAGGCGAGGATAGTCTCGCGCGAAATTAAATTCATCGTGAAGCTGACTGTGTATCCGACGTGCGCGCACACGTGTGCGCTGCACCGAGGGAGAAAGAGAGAAGGGTAGCCGGGCACACAGAGATCGCGTCGCATCGGCACGCAAACGCGCGCGCTCTCATTCGCGGACGTAACCAATTGGCGAAATCACTTTGGTCTCTGTGTCAGCGGCCCACGCACTTCCTTCTGAGAAAAGGCGACTCGTAGCCTCGCCCACGTGCGAAACGACAAGCGAAACGGAAAAAAATATCCCCGCGGTCGAGACGCGGTGAATTGGATTAAACGAGTCGGATGCCGTTGGCGTGAAACTTTGCACCGTCGGTCAACGGTGACAACGACGGTGGCGGCGGTGGCTCTGTGCTTACCTCCGCGTTTCCACTCGCAACGCGACTCGACGCGACTCACAAAAGCTTTTATTCAGAAACACGCTGAAAAGCCGCCCGTACATAAATCTGCATCTGCGTGTTTGTTCCCCCTTTTATCGAATTCTTTTATTCCGCGCCGCAGACGCTCTGCACGCGTCGCTCCCGCGCGTCTCTGCCCTTGTGAATCGAGAGGATGAACGTGTCTGTCTGTAAATTAATATACTCCGCGGCGGAGAAGAAAAAGAGGAACGAGGTGATACCGCGATAGAAGCGAGGTCTCCCGAGACGATTTCGATCGGGAAGGAAAGGGGAAAGTCCCGCGACGAACGATCGCGCAACCTGCCCCGACGATCGCGATCGTCGGATTATGACAGTTCCGTAGAAGAAGAAGCGTTCACCCTGCCTTCTCGGGTATCTTGTAAGTCGCAAACCTCGACTGAGAATATTACCCTTGAGATATCTGGATTTGCTTCCAGCTACAGCAGCACTATCAGCTTCAGCAGCAGATACTCTGGCAGAAGTATGAGGCGCAGGGACGACAACTGCAAGAGCAGCAGATGCAGGAGCAACTGAAGGTGAGTCTTAACCGTGCAAATACGAGACTGCGTCGAACCCTGGAACGCGAAATTTTATTAGAGTCTGACAGATGTACACGGAGATAATTTTACATTAAGAGAAATTATCCGATGAAAAATTAACAAACGGATATTTCCGATCAAAATATCGATAAATTTTCGTATCCTATCAGGATATTCGATTAAATTAATGCTTCCGATCCTAATGACATTTCATCAGATGAACCGATCAAAAAATCATGAACCAATATTTTCCATCGTATGTTTCCTGATTGTATATAAAAATTCATCGATATTTTGACCAGAAATATTCGTTTGTTAATTCCTTATCGAGTAATTTCTCTCAGTGTATAGTAGAAATTACTACTATTTTGTAACCGAGGCGTATTTTAGCATAGTCTGCTTAACTTCGCTACTAGAAACACCATAAAATCGAGACGATTTTGCAATGAAAAGAGGCAATCATAATATCCTCTCCGTGTATGTACCTTGCATTTGCAAAATTCATATCTTATTAAGAAAAGCTCCCCAATGCCATTGCGAGACGCTAAAACGAACGGCTCCTCGACGACGGTCGATTCCAAATGAATTCGGGAATATTTTCGCCGTGCTGTCTCCGAACGACCGAAATTACTTAGACAATCGAGTTTCCTAGGTTATTGTTATTTTCGCGCGGTCCCCTCTCGCGTTTCCAATCGCAGCGTCAGAACGAATTATTTAAGCCGCAATTCCCAACCGGTCCCTCGCCGACGTCTATCTGCCTATCTATCTATCACCGTCTCCTCGTCCTGACGGTTTCATCCTCGCGTGCAAAGCCCCGGGGACGACGCTCGTCGACGTCTCGCCCGAGGCACGACCATCACTCGTGGCGTTACTTCGGGGCGGTTAGCGGCAACAGCATCGGCCGCGCATTACACGCGCATTATCCGGCCGTAATAGAGAATCCTTCTCGCGTTTTATCCGACGCTCTCCCGTCCCCGTCTCCGCGCCGGTGGCGGCGGCGATGGCTCTGGGAACGACGGCTAGTCGCGAATATCGTCGACGTCGTCCTGTTCCACCACCACCATCGCCACTACTACCACCGACGGAGAGCACCGGCCGCCGTCGCGCGGCCATTCGCGTCTCCCTGCCGGTCGAAAGTCCAGCGGAATATTCCTCTCATTGTCGGCGAAGCGCGTAACGTGCGTCACGAATGCGATAATAACAATAACGGTTGATCATGAAAATAAACTGGGCATCGCCTCGCGCCGCGGAATCCCGCGATTCCCGTCCGGCACTCCGACAACCGACGAGTACGCTCGCACTTCGGCACACGGCTTGTTCTCGGCGACAGGCACGCGACGCGCGGCTCGCAAACTGTGCGATGCGGATGCGAATTTTCTATCCTCGCCGGGGTGCTGGCGAACACACCGGCGGGAAACACGACGGCTACGCCGGAATAATGGCGAGCCTCGCGTGCGAGGAGGAAAAGCGCAAACGTCGTTGTCCGGGTGAAACTGGGAGAAACTGACCGCGCGATTTTCCGCAAAATGTCTCGCTCAAAACGAGAGGAGCGTGTGAAATTTCCTGGAAACGACAGTCGAGGAGCGAAGCTCCTTACATGTGTCGATTTGAAGCAAAGTAGAAGTACCAATGTGCTTGGAACATTCTTATTGTTCTGATTTTGAAATACGAATATTTAAATTTTTAACGTAAAATATATGTAAGGGAGAGGGAGGCAAATAGTGACAGTTTAAATTTCTCCTATATTTCCCGCGTCTATTCTATTACCACCGTCAATAACATCTAATCATCTTTGAAAAAAAACAATTAAACTGCTAAGCCAAACGTAGCTAATAAAGAAGCTTAAAATTTTGGCCTTTGTGAAACAAGATAAAACCTGAATCTTATTCGGGTATTTCTATTTAGATTGTTTTGACTCTCGAATCCCTAAATGAGATTTTACTTGTTCAACGTTGTACGATATATGTTTCTTCTAGTGTGATCTAACCTCTATATGTATATATCAATTCGTTTATTGTTTTAAGTGTTTTAAAAGAAGAAGCAACTCCTAGGGCAAAGAGTGACAAATTTTAAATAACGTTATTTGACTTATTCAGTGTTAGTTGAATTGCATTTCTTCCTATTTATTTTGTTGGATGTAACTTAAATGCCATTAAACTAGGTTTAAATACAGAAAATATTAATAAGTAATTTGAAAAATCACTTTTCAAAAGCACGTCATATTATTTCACTAAAATTAGATTTTATTATCATTTGTTTTAATAAAATTCTTACATATGGCAGTAAAGAAATATTTCAATTTTTAGTTAGTCATACGTCGTCAAAAAAGAGACTGAATGGAAGTTCAGGAGTTTTTCATGATTGTCACCATTTGCTGGGGCAAATAGTGACAAATTTTAGTTTCTATAGAAATTTAGTTATTCCATATGACTTATGGGTTTTATACTTAAGTTTTTCGTATAATTAAAGGTGGAAAGTATCGTTTTAGTAAAACATCCGATCTCGACAACTTGAAAATAGCTTACACGAGGGAGAAAAAAAATCCGTCACTATTTGCCCCACTCTCCCTTATGTGCAGGTTGGCTGACAATTTTAACACACCAGTTGTATATATGTGTGTGTGTGTGTGTGTGTGTGCAAGTAAAACTCATCAAACTGAACATTTTGATTCGTTTGAGCCAAAAAGAATTACGTCGCACCGTTGTAATATTGATCAACCCGTTACCTTTGTTATACGCCCAACTTTAATTATATCCAATTTTATTATGTACAATTTTAATATGTCCAATTTTAGTACATCCACTTTTATATCTGTCGTAAAATACGCGAAAGTTTCACACCGGCATCAGTTTTATATATTCGCGGTGCCGGGAATTTAACGGCAATTTTTCATTAACGAGAAAGTGCGACGCAGAAATACTTGATGAACGCAATGTTTCATATTTTATATTCCGCGCTCGTGAATTTCTGCACATTTCTTCACCACGAGCGGTCGCTCGGTCTTTCCATCTCTCATTATCACACGTATATGTCCGTGACACGCTCGTTTATGCGTAATTATGCATGGATTCGTCGGCGTATCGTATAATCTTCTCGCACACGCAACTTCGTCGCATATCCATCGCGGAAATCGCCATTTATGCACGACGCGCAAATCAAAACAGCGCGCTGATATAGCAGGCTAGGAAAATTCGATTTCAAGGGAGACAAGAGAGTCGCAAAATGTTTTTTTAGAACGTAGGAAAAATATGGAATATTTTCCACTATCATTTTCACAATAATAGATACACGAACCAAATGTATCGATCCCGTCTCTCCCCTACATCGACGGCTGCCTAACCATCTCTTCCTTATCGTCGGAAAAATGTCGAGCGCGCTTTACTCGAACTCTTTGACGCGAGGGAGCTCGTGAAAATTCTTCGACGAGTTCGCTTTCCATCCACTTTTTCCTTTCTCGCACCGTTTTTTGTGCGGCCTTTCGTGATAACGCGAAACACTATTTTCGGGATAACGTAAACACACGGACGCGCAGCACCTGTGGCGCGTGCCGACGTCACTTCCGACTCGCCGTGCTCTCCGGGCGAGGGAGGTGTTAACAGGTGCGCGCAGGTGTTCCCGCGCTGGCAGGTGGACTGCGCGCGGATTGCTCGTGCAGCAACGCGGGCGCCGATTTGCTTTATTGGTCGCCGGACTGCGCTTTATTAGTCGTTACGATCTTGCCTTCTTTTTCCCCGTCCCGCCGTTGTTGTTACGCGATCATCCACGTGGATGAATAAGCGCGCTATTTCGAGTTTTACGGACGACCATGAGCAGCCGAGCAGGAAGTTAGATCGCGCTTACAAAGGCAGCCACGCGTGCCTCGTTGAGGAGACAATGACATTCTCGATATCTGGCCGAATTCTCGCGATCGGTAAGGTGACCAGACATCCCGTTTCTCCCGGCACAGTCCTGCTCTTCTATCCCGTGTCTTGAATTTTTTCAAGTGCTATCCAAGAGCCCGATTTGTCCCAAATTCGGTCGAATTGTCCTGGTTTATTCCGGCTCAGGAGATTTTGAAAATCCTGACAAAAAGAAGAAGGCTCTCAAGAAAATTCATAGCTTTGGCAGATACAGCAGCTCGACTTCTTCTCTTTCTCTTGATTTTAAGTAAGGGGATGACAGTAGTTTTATCTCAGCAATATTTTCTACCTTCGCAGCAGCCTTTATTGTTATTCAGTTATTTTTTATAGGTTTATAAATGAAATATCGTATATGCGTAAACGTGTATGTATATAATAATAATAATATGGGTGATCTCCCGCTCTACACATTTATGAGGCGTTTCGGATTTGGGGCTGGGAAATCTGGTCACCTTATAATCAGTCGATTCATTATTATTGACGATTATTGACGCCAGCGCGTCATTAATGCAATCGTTTAATAACATGTGCTGTAGTACAATCAGAATAATTATTGTTGATATTATTTATCAAACGCGATCACGGATCGCGCACGGACTACCGTTGCGCGGAAGCTCTCTCCCTCCCTCCCTCCCTCCCTCCTTCCTTCCCCTCTCTTCCTCGCCGTATATTTAGTCCCGCGAGATCGCTTATCGCGTATTACACACATGTGCCGCTTGAATCGCGACGGGTTACGGGAACGCGAGGAGGGATTACGCGGAGGAATGCAATTCCGCACGGAGAAGCCGGCCCAGTTTAATAGGTGCACCCGTTCCGCGTATGTGCGTCGCGGATATTAATTGGCGAATAACGAGATGTGTCGTGGACACGGAGAACGATGCCAGCGAAACGCGCGCGTGCGAGGGAGGGAGAGAGAATGAGAGAGAGAGAGAGGGAGAGAGAGAGAGAGAGAGAGAAAGAAAAAGACGCGCTGATGTCGATGAACCCCGTGAACGGTCGCGAGCGAACATCCGCGCCTCATTTTCCGCGAACGCGCGGAAAGCATGCGGAGATTCATCCCGCGAGGTTTGGACGCTGGACCGCGAGGGGGGAGGGAGAGGCTGCGCTGGCAAGGCGAGGGAGAGTCACGCAGCATTCACTCGCGGAGACGCGATTTTATCGGCGCGGCTGTGTAAGCAAACGTTATTCGGCGAGGGCTATTAATAAATGCTCGATGCTCAGCCGAACTCATCCGCTGTTATTACATTCCGCGAGAAGGATCCGCGCGTCGCACCAAGATATGCACGCGCGAAAGAGGGAGGTCGTGTTTATCGCGCCGTGGGCGAGATTATGCGTGACACGTGATTGGATTAATGCGCTCTCCTCTCTCTCTCTCTCTCTCTCTCTCTCTCTCTCTCTCTCTCTCTCTCTCTCTCTCTCTCTCTCCGCTGGCCAATGCCAGACTTTCCCACGTGGCTGATTAAGCCAACGTGCTCCGTGCGTGCGCGCCCCGGCTGTTTGTTGTTGCATCTTCATCATTCCATCTGTCCCGCGCGAACAAAACGTCACTTCTTCGCGCTCTTTTTTTCTCTCTCGCTCCTCCCTCTCCGTCAGCATTCGTGTTTGATAGACGGCAGACCTGGGTGGACGATACACTGGGACCTGATCTCCTCTCGCTTACGTTTCGTCGGTTCCGAGGTCATCATCGGTATCTTCTTCTTCGCGCACCTTATCTTACGCATGTCGAGGACACAACCATTTTTTGACATTCGTGCCGTGCATTTGTTTATTCCTTACAATGTTCGACAAACAGGTATCTCAAAAAGTACACAAACACACGCGTGTTTCGGTAATCTCTGTTATTTCTTTCTGTGAATTCCGGAGTCGACATCAGCCGGCATATACATGTGCGTATCGTGACGGAATTTCTTCAAGTCTCTCGTCTTGACGCACACGACACATTATCGGGGAAATAACACCAAATCGGTATCAGTCGCGTAGTCGTATACTCGGTCGGACTTGGAAAGTATGTTTCACACGACCTGGGGATATCACAGGCCACGGGAAACATCACGACTCTTGCGCGGAATATCACCATCGAACTTCGCGGTCATTAATGCAGTACGGCTTCATGACCGACCTAATCACGCACTGCCGTCGGGGAGCATCGTGTATGCATCATTTGTAGACAACGACGATGATGATGATGGCTCGACCTAGGTAAATCGCGCGTGCCGCATTAAACCAATTAAAACGAGATACCTCGGGGGGAAAAAGAGAGAATCCAAATGTCTGACCGTAAGCCATGTAGAACTATCGTAATCGCGAGATCTCGCCTAATTGGATTCCCGTTTCGTGCTCGGAGATAATCCCCGTCAGGCGTCGGCGAGAGAGAGAGAGAGAGAGAGAGAGAGAGAGAGAGAGAGAGAGAGAGTCCCTGCAGTTTTGACAGTTCTCACTAGCGGCTCAAAAGCGCCACGTAGGATCTTGTGCAAAAGTGAAAAACGCGATTCTTACGTGAAACGCAATTTGCTTTTCGCAGCTCTGGGAGCAGCAGAAGCAGCTGGAGGAGCAGAGGCGAGAGAAGGAGCGGCTGGAGGCGCTCAGGAAGAAGGACAAGCATGATCACAGCGCGAACGCGTCCACGGAAGTCAAGCAACGCCTTCAGGTGAGTCCAGCCTCGTTAATCCCTCGCGCTAAAAGGAGCGCGAATGTCACCCGATATCGTTGGTGCTCTCGCAAGCATTTGAGATTCAATGATAAGTAAAAGTAGAAGTAAAAGTGGGGAAGAACAAACGGGGAATAAAGATCTCGACATCGCGAGTTGGCGCGCGAAAAAGCTCTTCCGACATTTTTATCCGGCGACACGCCCTAAGAACAAGTTCGGTCGGAATCATCTGTCTACGAAGAGAGGGAAGGCTCTTTTGAGCAACCCGGTCAATCCAAGTATTGATTTTCCGAGTTCTCGCGTAGCGGCACGCGCTGGATCTCGTGAGCACGGTTCTCGATTTACAAAGCACTTATACGGATTGCAGAGCTTCCTGGTGAACAAGAAACAACGGGAGGCGGCGGCCGCGGCGAACGGAGCGGTGCCTGGCACGCCCGGCTACAGAAGCTGGTAAGACGATGTTGTATTAGATAATGCGACATGCACGGAGAAAATTTTTATAGTATAAATTAGAACATCTTGTAACTGAGGAATAGATCGACAATTCCGCGGACCATCCTTTCGTCTCACATCTTTACTGTAGGAATTGAAATCTTCTATTAAAACACTTCTAGCGTTTCTATTAAAACACTTCGAGCCGTTTCTAGCAAAATTTACTGCGCTCTTTAGAAAGCAGAGTTCTTACTGATAGTCTGTTATTGTACTACCAGAAACATAGCGAAAATTGAAAAGAAATAATATGAAAAACAAGACTATAATATTCTCTCCGTGCGGAGGACGGAGTGCTTCTCTCAGGAGAAACACGATTCGCGCTTTTCACGCTGGAAATACTTGAAAATTTATTCGTGGGATATAAGTTTATATTTTTTCATAGAAGTAAACCTTATTCTACAAACTAAACTATATTTCCTACGAAATAAACTGTGCTTCACAGAAATATAAATCTTGTTTCTCAGACATAAACTTTATATCCCGCAAATAAAAAATGTTCAAGTGAAGTAAACCAATTTCCACACACGTATCTGGACATTCTTGTTTTGGTCTTTAAATATGAATACTCAAACTTTCAACATAGAATATATTTACATATTCAATATTTGTACATTTGTTTTATATTGAACGTTTAAATATTTGTATCTACACGCAAAAAAATGACTTAGTAATATCAGTTAAACCGCGGTAGCTGATTCAAACTAGTCAAAAGATTCAACTAAGATTCAACTTAGTCAAAAGGCTAATCGTTTAGCTGTTACTGCTAAGAATTGGCTATGACAGCTAAAATGCATTCGCTATGAAATACAAATATATTAGGTGACGTTAAAAATGCACATTATTTCAAATAGCTAAGAAAATAGCAGTTATTCCTAAATTTCTTATCGTATGCATATATTAAAGAAGTTTGCCACACAGCTACAATCATTTGCTACAGTCATCTGTTTCTAGCAGCTAATATTTTTCGCTGTAGCGTCTAAGTTTAATCTTATCTGCCACAGCTATTTTTTAGCTCTGGAAGCTAGTTCTTTTTTGCGTGTAAAAATCAAAACAAAAAGAGTGTCCCGGTACATGCTTGGACATTGGTACTTTATCTTATTTCTGTCTCTGTACGAATAAAGGATAGATCCTTAGGCTTTAGAATGAATCCGTACTGAAGATGGATACATGCGTGTGCATTATCTGACGATGTATCATTGCGCGTTTAATTTGATTTAATTTCAAACCGACTTTATATGCGAAAGATTTTCATTGAGCTTCTCATTACCTGTTGCGGCACATTTCGCGATAACCATCCGAATATTTATATCACATTTTTCTTATTTTCTTCTTTTAGTTGAGGAAATAGGAAGGTCGACGGAATAATGTCGGTTCCCAAATTCGGAACACTGTCAATTAAAAAAAAGAACAAGTTTAATCGTCGATGCGCCTGTCTGGATTCTGGGCTCGCGATGAATCGAAATTTTGCCGTGGTCGTTTCGATTTTCAATGGGCCGGCGCGCGATCGTCGTCGTAGTCTTCTTCTCCGCCGCCGACGAAGTAACGGTAATAGCACAACCTGGCCCAGTTATCCATTTAGCAACGGCCGATGCGCTCTCAACGTTATTTCCTTGTCCTCGCCGATGGTAACTTCGTCTCGAGCGAGTACGAGCGAGTACGAGTCGCAAGGCGGTAGTGAAAAAAGAAAAGAGAAAGGAATACGAAGTATACACATCTCTCAAACGAGATCTCTTCTTGGGAGATCGTGTGAGGGACGTTGAGCATCGAGATGCGAATTTGGTCGGGCAGATCGCGTCGCTGACATTTTATTTGCATTGTCGAGATAAACGACAGATTCATTTCGGTCTCATTATTGTTGTATCTTGATAAGAGCGTCTTCGTCAATGGAAACATCTTCTGTACGACCGACCGTCGTCTGGTCGAGCTTTGATGTGTAACGGTTGTCGCGCACTTTCTTATCCAGGCTGCAGCCACAGTCGGAGTCGTCGAGCACCACGAACGCGGCGCACCCTTACCGAATGCCGCAGATGCTCCAGGAGAAGTTCGGCGACGACTTCCCCCTCAGGAAGACAGGTAATTATCCCGTGGTTGTCGTGTGACATGCATACTTCGTACAGGTAGCTCGTGTGTGTCGATAGAATGTCTACTAAAGCATGGTGTTTCGCTGTACGAAACGAGTTGAAGTCCCAGAGCAGCTTGCGCGTCGACGCGACGTCCGCTTCCTTCGCGAGATTATCGCGATTACATTCTACACTCGCGAATACAAGGAAACGGGAGGGGGAAGGGGAGGGAAGAAACGGTCTTCCTCGACGAGATTCGATTGGATTATCCGGTGACACCCACGCCGAACACACAAACGCGACACACATATCGGTGATTCGACGCGTCTCATTCTCGATTTAATGATTCGCGAGTATATTCCGGGTTCGAATATCCGCCTCTTGTGACGCTTTAATTCGCATCTGACCTTATAACGAGTCGAGACCGTTTCGTTCGCTCGCTCTCTCGCGAGCGCTCTCGGTAATGTTACATTTACCATATTCACCGGTCGCTGAGCAACAAATCCCACGCCGATTCACGCGTCGATTGTCGTTACATCAGCTGATATACGGGCAAAAGATGATTGCGCATCAACGTGCGCGTATGATCCGCAAATTCGCGTGCAGAAGAAGGTTTGCGATTCGGCGAGGAATCGTCGCGCGCGACTAACCAGTCGTTTCCTCGAAGATCTACATCACTTATCGAGAAGGGAAGAAAAGTGAGATTCCGCCGGTGTATGTCGAATGTCACGTGTCGTCGCGGCGCGCTGATAAGTAATTAACGCTGCGAGAGCAAACGCGAACGCGAGCTCGACGACGAAGACGACAAAAATGATGACGGCCGTCATCGTGTTCTCGTGCCTCGTGCTTTTGATCCAACGTCCCAGCCCCGACCCCCCTTCCGCTACCGCCGCCGCTGCCCCCGCTCCCCCCTCTCTTTCTCTATCTCTCTCTCGGTATGACAATGACCGACTAACAACCGGCTGAAAATTGGCCAGCCTCGGAGCCGAACCTGCTGAAGGTGCGACTAAAACAGCGCGTGGAGAGGAACATGGCAGCGTCGAGAAACTCACCCCTGATGGCACGCCGGAAGGACCGTCTGCTGTCGCACCTCAAGCGGAAGTCGTTACTAGCAAGTACGTTCCTCTCACACTCGAGCTTCCGAGGACTGAGTATTCCTAGAATGAGCTCTTTCTCTCTCTCTTTCTTCCTCTGCGTGAGCATTCGCCGACGTATATATCATTACGAATATATATATATATATATATATATATATATATATATATATATATATATATATATATATATA